CGTGGTTGACGTGAGCGATGACGAGTTCATCATCGGCAACGATCTCTGTACAGCATTAAGGATCAACCTGGACCGTCAGCTGGAGCAGCTGGCGAATCGCGGAGATGATGAGATGGCGAGTGATCCGATTGTATTGGAGGCCGACGAAATGCCAGTGCACGTGAATAATTCAGTTTATATTGGTGGTGACAATGATATTTTCGCTGCCGTGGAGAAATTAATCGATCGTGTTGTGAGCTGTGGTTTCCCGCCGGATCATGTAGAGAAATTACGTATCATCGTAGATGCGTATGATGTTTGGCGTCTGGAGCTACGTGCAGATCCACCAGCAAGTGTGCCTCCGTTGGAAGTGCAGCTGGGGGAAGGGGATCGGCTTACAAAGTGTAAGCCCCGAAAGTACCCACCTCACATACGCGACTTCCTTCACGAGTTTAACGATCGTCTTGCTGAGCTAGGATTAGTTTACGAGAATTCGAAGAGCCGATGGTCGAGCCCCATGCTCCCAGTCAAGAAATCCTTAGATCTCATGGACCTACGGCAGACGGTGGACTACCGACTTACGAACGCCCAGACCGACACTATGACCGCTGTTATGCCTATTCTTTCGTTAGTTGTGGAACATGCTAGCGAAATGAAACACTTTGGACTTTCGATTTTCTCAAAGGCTTTTGGCAGTTGCCGTTGGGCGAGCTGTGCCAAGAGTGGTTATCATATATGACAGACGAAAAGATCTTTACTCCGCGGCGAGCTCCTCAAGGATGCAGCGATGCGGCGATCCACTTCCAGAAGACCATGGAGAAGTGTATTTCTACCCTGCTGTACAAGCACTTCCTCATCTATCGACGATCTACTGTTGTACGTAGAGGCTATCGACACCTATCTCGACAAGCTCGCCGAGTTTTTCTCTCTGCTGAACCAGTTTGGGCTCAAGCTGAACGCTTAGAAGACGAGTCTCTACCAGACAGAGGTGAAGTGGTGTGGACGATTGATTAACGGTGATGTCGTCAGATACGATCCAGCACGGATAGACACTCTTCGCGCCATGCCAAACCCTACGACAGCTGGCGACTTACAGCAATTTGTGTGTGTGCTATTACCTGGAAGAGGGAGAGTATCGCGGATTACGCTCGTCAAGTAGCTCCTCTCCAGCGACGACTTGATGCTGCACTCGCATACACTAAGCAAACGAAGCGAGCTGCGGCTGGGATCAAGATCGGGTTGACTCAGGAAGAACGTGTGACCTACGATGAAAGGAAGGAGATGTTAGCGACAGCAGCCACCCTTGCATTCAGTGACTATAGTGCGACTACATGCCTTTTCACTGATGCCAGCGACGTTGGTTGGGCTGTGATCGTGACCCAAGTAGAGAACTTTGACTCGAAGATCCCTGTAACGGAGCAGCAGCACAAGCTGCTAACCTGTATGAGTGGTACATTCACAGGCAGTCAGCTTAACTGGACTGTAATCGAGAAGGAGGCTCTGCCTATAGTCACTGCTTGCGAGAAGCTTGTCTACCTTCTCCTCCTACTCAAACCTTTTCGCATGTTCTGTGACCACCAAAACTTGGTGCACGGGCTCGCGCCGGACGAGAGCGTCAAGAAGCATGTGAAGGGCAAGCTGTTACGATGGGCAATGAAGCTCATGGGTTTTAAGTATATCGTGGAGCACGTACCAGGACCGGACAATGTTTGGGCCGATATAGGTTCAAGGTGGGCAGGCAACCACTACCCCCAGTGTACCGTAAAGAGGCTCAAAACAATCCGACGCCGAGAACCAACCAAACGTACGGAGCTCTGCCCGCTCGCCACTGACGTTTTTGTGTGGCCCTCTTTTGCTGAGATTAAGGATACGCAAAGCAAGTCCCCTCCACTAGAATATGCTGTACGCTCGGACGACGGCGTTCTCACTGTTGGTGATCGCATTTGGGTGCCTGCTGCAGCAACGGATCTCGCTCAGAGGCTGTGCATTGTGGTTCACTGTGGAGTTCAGGAACATCGAGGCCAACAAGCTATGGTGACTCACCTTCAACGCTTTTTTTCGATTGACCACCTTTGGAAGACCGTGTCGTCGCTTGTGAATGATTGTTTGCTTTATCTGCATTCACGCGGCGGGGGGGGGGGGTTATCCCGAGACCGTGGGGAGAGCTTATAGACTGCAGACAACGCAACAAAATTCTACACTTTGACTTTCTTTATCTGGGCCCCAGCTATGGATCAAGCAATTACCTGCTGGCTCTAAACGACCATGCAAAGCACTACTGTGAGCTGGTGGTCGCTGATTCAGCTGAAAGTCCAGTAGCTGTGAAGGCTTTGTTAGCGTGGCACTCTCGCTTCGGCGTACCGCCTTCGTGGGTATCAGATCAGGGCTCCCATTTCAAGAAATGAAGTTGTAGCAGAGCTGAGTCGACGGCTACGCACGCGGCAGTCCTTTACGCCGCATGGGTGAATGAATCGATTGAACGTATCAACCGTGACGTGCTTCATGTCACCCGTGCCATGAGATTTGGAGTGAAAGATCAGCCAGAAGGACTGGGTGTACCTTGTGCCGTTAGTACAGTCAGATTTAAGTCACACTGCAGTGCCTTCACTAGGCAATCACTCACCATTGAAATTGTTTACGGGGTTGAGGTACCCGACACCGTTAGCTGAATTCTACCTCTCGGACGATCATTGCCTCCAGACTATTCCGGCAATCACCGAGATCGAGGGCTACGAACAGATCTTCGTGAAAGCATCCAAACAATGCACTGTGCGATGGAGGACAAGAGGCAGAAGCAGCGATTACTGAACAAGAAACGTGAACGTGGCGAGAATTTGGTAAGCTTTACTGTGGGAGATTACGTCCTTCGATCTCGAGTGGATGAGAAACATGGTAACAAGTTGCAGTGATGTGGATAGATCCGTATCAAGTGACGCGAGCCGACACACACTCGTTCCGAGTGAAGCACCTCGTGACCGGTGACGAGCTGGACGTGCACACATCGAGACTGAAGTTTTATTCTGACGATAGCCTGGACGTGACAGACGAGCTTCTGGAGCATGTGTCCTCGCAAGGCATCGTCCTGGGTGGTGGGGGAGTCAAAAGGGACACAGGTGGAACTGTGATATCAAAGACTTTGAGATTCTGGTTAGCTGGAAATGTCTAAAAACCATCGAGGACTCGTTAGAACCTATGAGTGACCTGGTTAAAGCGATCAGAGTGTTGGTGGATAATTATGTGACAAGTGCCGACGACCAGCAGCTCCGTGAGCACTGGAAGCCGCTGCAAGGAGATCGCAGACACGGGATAGTTCAGGAAGTGCGACCAAGTGTAGACTTCGAAACAGTGGCGTCGACCGGTGATCTGCGTAGGCCTCAGGGTGACGCAGGGCAGGTGCAGCCTCGCCTTCACGGACGAAAGCGACGACGTCGCCAAACTGCAAGCAGGAGCGTGCGGGACAGCGACCAGTCGGCTGAAGAGGATCTTCACGTCGAAAAGCAGTCCAATTCGGAGCAGACTGCGGACGGGGATAATGAGCAGCACATGGGTGCCGAGGTTGGTCTTCCACTTCCCCGAGGTCGCCTAACAAGATCTGTGGTGCAGGATTGGATGCCTTCACGCGTGCAGCCACGCCGTTCACAGCGTCGCCGTAAGGACCGAGGCCAGGGTAACTGACTGCTCGGTGAGTAGTGGTTGCAGCGGAGACTGGTGCAATGTGAACAGATAAAACCAAGCTTCGGGGGCTGGGTAGCGTGTGCTGGGGTTCAACCTTGGCTTCACCTGCAGCTGGACTCGGGCTGGGGAAACTTCACCCGGATGTGGCTGCCATTGCAGGCAATGGGTGGAACACGGAATGTCTTTAGTTGTGTCCGACGCGTGGTCAGCTGAGGACTTCGATTTCACTTGGACTGTCAGTTTCCCTGTGGACTGCATTAGGATTTAGTATTGCCAACTGCATGTTTCATTTCTGTGATGAAAGGCATTCATGTCCACTATCCTTGCTGCCTAGTCACCCAAGATGAGTGGCTAGCAGCACATTGACGAGAGCGAGCTGGTCAGCCCCAGACTCATGATCTCGTTCACTTTGCAATTTGCACGACAAAGAGTGCATCAATACACTTGGTTGCTACTTCCGTGCGGGTTGGCCCCCGCATCGTCGTGTGTTTCCTGTTTTACATCAAATTCCCAGGCTATACTACACAGGTGCAGGATCAACGGCGCCGAGCTTTCTTCAGCTTGTTTCTCTTCTGGCTTTGACCGCACGTCGACAATCTCCATGTCATAGCTAATGAACTGGAACGCGCAGGATCCTTCGCACCCGCAGTGTCCCACCCATTGTCGATTTGGAGACTCTGGCATCAAGATTCGTTGTGGCTTCGTCTAAGGCTGAATCAATCTGCTGTCCGATAGCGCTTCCATCTTGATGGAATACTAATATCCACCTTGATACAGTCACCGGGATGGAGCAAATTTACAAGTGACAATCGGGACGAAGTTACCGTGCGCGAAATAACTCGCAGCCGCATCAAGCTCCAGCGCATCGATGGCGAATTTGAATCCTTTCTTTTTTTCTAAACTCTCTTCGCTTGTTTAATATTTCAGAACGTGGTCATCCACCACCTCTCTCAAGTCTTTTTCCTTTGATGTATGCTCGAGTATTA